GTTCTTTTTTTTTTTGGTGTTTTATTTCCCTATTTTGAGGTGAAATTTGTTTGATAGTCAGTAGATCTGTTGTTTATCTTCGATGTATTGATGACAAAAAGAAAAGGAATAAAAGGCAAACTATAAACTTGGAGCTTTCAATCTTCATGTTCGCAGGATATAAATAGTTTTTAGATAAAAAGTAAATTTTTAGTGGAAATTGGGATCTAATCTTTTATGAATCTAATAAGAAGCCTTCCCTCTTGTGTTGCTGATTATAATTGCTGATGATTATTGTTGGTTGACCTGGTAATATGCTGTTCTGATTGAGGGATTTCCCTAAGTCTCAAATTGAGGATTATTTGATGGTTCCCATTGCATTGTAGGCCATAAAGATTTGACTTTTAATCCATTTCTTACTCTTGTTGATGACATAAAGTCAATATTTGCATAAAAAGATCGCCCCAAGAATTTATTTTTCTCTTTTCTTTGTTTTTTCTTCTTCAATCTGATATATAACCCAAAATCTTGCAGGGGTTGTGTTTTGTGAAAGTGGAGATTAATCAAACTGAAGAATAGAATGCGGTGGTGTAGCGTTTCTATTGATGTTTTCCGTAAAGTTATCTCTTTGAACCTCTATTGCCATGTCATTCTATAATAATCTCATTTCAATCCCGAAGATAAAGCATCCTTAGTTTGCTCTCTCTATCTATTTGTCCTGAACTTTTCAATATTACTCCAATACACATTCATATATATATACCCATGGGATCTACTCGCTTTGTCATCATTCCGTGCTACGTACGCTGGATAAGCTGAACCAATTTCTGATATTTTTTTTCCGACTCCCCCAATATCATTTTTAGTTAATACTATTGCCATTTGAGCTTTTCTTTGCCTTTTTTTTTTCGGTTAAGATACCCTCTGATTGATTACTCACTTCGCGGTGTAACTTTTTAAAGCATTATTTTTTAACTTGTTTATCTCGGTTAGTTCAAACCAATCTGGTGTAATTTGAGTGGGGGGGAAAAGTAGTTATGGTGTGCCAAGCTGCTAGTCAAACAAGATTTCGGGCATTGAAACACGAGACTGGAATTGCTGGGTGTGCCACCATAATAGTTAGAGTAATAGCATGCTTCCAACCCCTTCAAGATTGTCAGGTTAGTCGATTGATTATATTTCGTTATTTTTTTTTCAATTTATGATATTTTTTTTTCTTTTCTTTCATATTCCATGTGGTTAATTACTAATTAGTATTTTTCTTGTGTGTATTTTTTCAGGCCGAATACTTCCGTCACCTGCTTAAACCCGTTACGTAGTTTAATTTCATCTTTTCGCGCGCATTTAAATTCAGCTGGATTTCTTTCTTCATCATTTCTATTTTCACCAAAAGAGACAAGGAGCAGTGCAAATCACTTACACTTAGGAGCAAATGGAAAGAGACACCGGATTTGGTTACCATCACCATCCGTATTTGATGCCTTCCCATCCGAATTTATCACATTTTCCTACCGAAATTACCCTTTTGAATCCCTTATCGGGCTACGTAAATCCTCACCCGTCTCAAAACCCAAACCCAAACGCAAACATACCAAATAACCCACCTCCCCCAAAGAGATTCCTCGTTTTTGACCGATCAGGTGAAAAAACCACTCTTTTCTACACTCGACCTTCTTATTGGGCTCCTCCGAACAATCTTATGACTTACAAAGAGAAAAACACGGTGGATAATAATAATATCCCGAGAGGTCTAACGAAAGACGACGAGTCGTTTCGAGAGAATTCGGAGGAACTCGATGCCCTCCTTTGTTCTTCGGATGACGATTTTTGCTCGGACGATGATGATGTGACGAGCACAGGCCATTCGCCGAGTGACTTGACTGACGAGGGCCCACACGATCCCCCGGCCGAGGAAAAAACGGGCCACAACAGCTTTGTGGGGCCCACCACAGCCAAACGCGGCAGAACAGGGCCCGTGTTGCTGGAGGAGGATGAAGCAGAGTCTTGCAGTGGGCCCCGCAAAAGGTTGAGGAGAGAAAAGGTGCAGTTTGCACTCGGGGCTTTGAGGAGCATTGTCCCGGGCGCGAGAGGTAAAAACGGGATTTCGGTTATTGATGAGGCTATTGAGTATTTGAGGTCTTTGAAGGTTGAAATGAAGGCTCTAGGGCTCGATGATCTTTGAGTTTTTGTTTGTTCTTCCTTTTACGAGACGAATGAAAAAACAAAACTTTGTTGTTTTGTTGGGGAGAAATTTTGTGGGACGAATAGGAATGTGCCTTGGAGCTCATAGCCAAGCGTACGTGAGAATCGAAAGGCAATTATTGGCTCGGTCTTCTGATCGAAATTTTAGTATGTTGCTAAGTTAGCTAAGCTTGGATTTAATGTTATGATCTTTTGTTAGATCACATTTGAAGTGATGGTTGAATCTTGTAATATGTTGATTTGGGAAACTCTTGAGATTCGAAATGCCTTGCTCATAAGTGTTTCATAAGAGTGAGGACTTTTTTTTTTTCTTTTCATTTTTCTTGAATTTTTTGATAGTTTGGTGTGAGGTGAGAATATGCCATTCATTTGGATTTGTAAATTTACTAAAGGTTGACATTTTTTGTTCTGGGATTTTGTGTTTGTACTAGGAATGGACCACCATCGCTGTTTGCTTAATTGCTTTTCACTGTGTTTTACTTTTACTAGGATTTTTTTTTCTGTATCTCGTGTTGTATAGATTGTGGTGTCTAATTTTATTGTTCCAAAGTCTGATACAGAGGACAATTTGCGGTCTGGGTTTATTCTGTTACTTTTGGTGAAATTATGCATGCGGATTGTGGACAATTTTTATTTTTATTTTGAAGTTTCTGCATTTATTACTGAATTATATTACTCCCTCTTTTTTTAATAAATGTCGTTTTGAGAAGTTGCACAGTAATTAAGAATATATTTTAAAGAGTGAATATGAATTAATGAGGATAGAGATGGATGTTTGAGAAAAAATAAAGAGTAAATATGAAAAGACGTAGTGTATTTATTAGCTAAATAAGAGTAATAATGGAAAAATATGTACAAAAAATCCAAAACGTCATTTATTTAGTTAATTATTGACAAAGCTAAAATGACACTTATTAAAAAAAGGAGGTAGTAAATTATTGGACATTACCCAACATATTACACAATCTTAATCAATAAAATTAATAATGAAAGACTGAACAATATTTTTTATAAAATTAGATGATGATGATGATTTTTTATTTGTTTTAGTGAGATTGTAGAGAAAAAATGAGATTAATTGAATAATATTTATATGTATTTTATTTTGTTATATTTGTTATTTAATAAAATAAATCCTGAATGAATAAACGGATAATTCCTTATAAATCCCCAATCACTTTTACAACTTTCTTGTCAGTCTCTAGTGCTTTTTTTGTTCCTCTGCACTCCCTAATACAATAGCATAAATTCCGTATACATAAACAAGAAATAAGAGATTTTGATCAATTTAATTGATTTAGGGTTAATATGAACAATAATTTTTAAAATTCAATCCCTAACAAATTAACCAAATATATACGAATTAAACATGATTTTTGGACTCCAATGTGCATAGAGAACATAAAAAATTCATTCTTGTACGTACAACTCCCTAGTATATCACTTTGTGTCCCTTCCATGTATCTAACAATATTTGAATAAATGAAAAAAACTTCACATTTTCCAGAAAAATATGGTACAAAACAGTATTAAAGTGGTACTATATACATGCAAATAGAGGTACAATAATCAAGAATAGTGGTACAGTGATCATTCCGACCTTATTTTCTTGTTTTAGGGTGAATAACACATTACACAACTTAACAATAGCATCAATTTCGTATACATAAACAAGAAATAAGAGATTTTGATCAATTTAATTGATTTAGGGTTAATATGAACAACACTTTTCAAAATTCATCTCAAACAAATTAACCAAATATATACGAATTAAACATGATTTTTGGACTCCAAAATGCTCATATAATACATATATTACTTGCTACTTCAAATTTTGGCCAGAAAAAGCACGAACGTTGCCGGAAAAAATGAATTCTTGGCCGCACAAATTTGACGTCGAATCACTTCTTTGGCCGGATTTGTTGTTGTCGGAGTTCTTCTCGCAGGATTTGGGTCGCCGGAGAGACCGACCTGCAAAAAAAAAAAGAAATGGAAGCAGTCGCCGGAAATGGAGGAAGACGAGAGAGTGACGGGAGGGAGGGAGAAAGGGTGTAGAAGAAGATTGATAAAAAAGTAATAAAATACTATTATGTATTGTGGTTGGTGGAAGAGAAAACAAATAAAATAATATGTTAGTGGGATGATGTAATAAAACATTTTAGTTTTGATTTAATTTTAACATTAGGGAGTTAGGAGGAAAAAAATTAAGGAGTTAGAGAGTTGAAAAGAAGAAATAAAGGTAGGGAGACTGAGGAGGAAAATGAAAAAGCACTTAGAAATCTATCATTATATAAAAAGAATAACCTTTTTACAAATTTAGAAATATTTTCCCGCCAAAATCATTAAATATATCCTACATATAGTAATTGTTGGACAAATCTAAATAGGCAAAAAAAAAAATCGGCTTATTAATTGTGTAAAGATTTATTTTTCTTTTTCCTGTTTTTTAGTTTATCAAAACCGTTGTTTGACGATAAATATTTGTTTTTCTTTTCCTATTTTTAGTATAAATCTACACGAGCTTATCTCTTCTGTTATAAATATTTTTAGCACACGCCTCACGTGTTTAAAAAATCTCATCTCTTATCTATACAGATTTGAAAAAATAAAATAAAATGGAAACCAATTAATAATTACTACTAGAAATCCATTATCTTTAAAAGAAAAAATAAAATAAAATAAAATCCAATTCATAATTACTAATAGAAATCCATTATCTACTTTAAGAAGCTAATTTTCATCGGTCTAATTACTAATATTTTTACAAATATTATAAGCTAACCATACAAAAAAGTATAATAATAATTTTAAAATGGTGTGTAATCAAATTTTTTTATATTCTCTAATACAAAATAATTTTACATTGTTTGACCTCAAATCTTTAATTTATAATTATTAAGTATCTTTAATTTATAATTATTTTTTTTTCTTTCTCTTTTTAAATAGGATCAATAGTAGTTTCTACTTCCGCCGCTGAATGACTCAAACTCGAGGTCTATTTATAATATTACTAATTTAATATTGTTCCCGTGCATCGCACGGGGTACACACTAGTTTTAGAAGAAATTACCCATGAATAAACACAAATGACTTTTTTTTTTATCACCTAACATTTTATATTATTGTTTTGTTGAAAAGTCATAGTGGGCCTCTTGGAGTACTTCAAGGCAAAAAGCAAATGGCGGTGATTTTTATTATATTTCTTTAGATCTTTTATTGAAAATTACCAAGATGGAACATGATCATTCACTCAAAGAAAACATTTTAAACTCGCTTACAACACGCACTTGAAAAGAAAAAACAAACAAACAAAACTTTAGATGATGTTCCAGTTGACTAATTTCTCCAATATGAAGCTCAATCGGACAAGAATTTTGGTAGGCAAAGAGAATACTTTTCGATTTGTCGTTATTTTATTACAATTCATTTGAATAAAAAAAAAAAAAAGTCTTAAGTATTCATTCATCCATTTGCTTTAACAATATTCTCTCAATTTCAACTATTTTCAAGAAGCAACATTCGCCTTCAAGAATCAAGTAACTTTATACCTTACCCTACAAACATAAATATATTGACAAATAGTTCCTTAGAATTTAATGAACATTCCAATGGTGTAATGATATATTGAAAAATTCCAACAGAATGCACAACATAAACATATCTCGTAATGTACTTGATCTAAAAGAAGTTCAGAATCTACTTTGTTAGCATTTAAGGGAAATAACTAATAAACATCCAGAGGTCCTATTATATATATCTCATATTTGTTTCTATAACACAANACTTCACATAAGTTTCTTTAGATAGCTTTTCCAATAAACTCATTGAAATTTTTATTTCAACTAGCTTATCAGCTAATTTTACTAAATACTTTTATTACCTGTTGATTTTTCAGCTATAAGTCATAAGCTATAAGTTCAAAAATTACTTATCAAGTAGCTTATCAACTAATTTACCGAACATATCATTAGTAATCCTTCCCCAATATACAATCACACTCGCCTAAAATGGCCACATTTAGCCCTTGGCTTTGTTTCCATAAGAATGAAACTCGACTCACACACTAACACTGGTGTTCCAACTGAATAAACAATCACTATAAACACTTCCTAGTAAAAACCTCAAACCTAAAGCTGTAAAACCACAACATGAACGAAGGGGCTTTTAACAAAGCTCTCACGGAACTTTAAACTCTGATTACTCAGAAGCACTTGATAATCTACTGTCCATAATAACTTCTAACTTAACCCTAAACGGACAAGAAAAGCGAGAATAAATCATACCCAATAGAAATTAGAGATCCATTACCACTCATCACTCAGATCAATAAAACTTACAAAAAAAAAGAAAAAGAATGCCATGGAACATGGAACAGCTCCATTTGAATTCTAAAACATGAAAATGGGATACATCAATTTCAACGCTGTTTGAGTAATCACAATGAAAGTACAGACTACACAACGATTAAAAGAAAAACAACTATAGTGATTGCAAATCCAAAAGTAATCTATAAAGAATTAAAAGAGTTCTAATAACACAATAAAAAACAGCAGCTCTGGGCTTCTTTCTGCAGGTCCATCATGCGACATTTCACATTTAAGGTCCATTTTCATCACACAAACCCAACACTGTGGGTTATTACAAAGTAAAACCGAAAAATAAGGAAAAAAAAAAAAGAAAAAAGAAAAGAAGAAAAAGGGATCTAAGCATTAAGAATAGAGTATACTAACCTCAAAGAATCCCACCTTCAGTCCACTTCACAGTTCACATCCAATTTCCATTATAATCCACTGACTTCTTATAAAGTACAGTTACACTGACCTCAAAGAAACCCACCCTCAGTCCACTTCGAATCCGATTTTTCATTATAACCCACCGATTTTTTATCAGGCGCACTTTTATAGAAACTATCAAACCCGTCATCTTTATCGTCATCCCAACCTGCCCATCCATCTCCATTTCCCTTTCCCGATTCTTCTTTCCTGTTGTCTTTGGTATCCCAATCATCCCAAGAACCCGAGCTAACAGAGTTAAACTGCTTGCCGGATGAATTTTTTGCTCCCGAGGCAAATTGTTGGTTAGATGAATTGTGTTCCCCAGTAGAAGAACTCCATCCTTTGGATTCATGTCCAAACTCCTGATAATAACCACTGTTTTCACTCTCGTTTTGCTGCCAGCTCGAGCCAAAACCCGAGCCTGTGCCTTCCTTTGTGTAAGCCTCGACTTTCTGGGAGGCCAAAGCCATTACACCTTTCATAAGCCCCCATGTCTTTTGTCCAATCTCCGATGTCTTTGCAGTAACAACACCAACTGTTTCATTTACCTTGTGATCATATCCCCCCTCTTTGACCTGTAAAAGAGAGATCAAAGCAAATCTTACTTCAATTCAACATATGTTTAGTTCTCAGTTTTGGAGCAGAAGTTAAAACATTTAGTGATATGCAGCTCGATCACTATAAAAAATAAAACTGCAGGCTGTAAAAGATGCATATGCCAGACCCTAAACTTACAACTAAACCAAACCTTAAGCCTTTTGATGCTACTCAACATGTTTAGTGATCCACACATGCTATGAAGACGAATTGTTTCTTGAAATCACAAGACTTTCCTATCAAATTACAGGTAAACAAAAAAAGGGAACAACCTTTGAAGTAATCTCCTTCGTTCCAGCTTGAACAACACTAGCAGCCGACTGTGCCGCCATCGATAACATGCCAAATCCCTGCATATGCAAAAACCAGAACAGATATATCATACACTCACACAGACACACACACACATATATCATACACATATTAAACCACAATATTTCTCACAACCCCACCTGAGAAACAACAGAAAGAACATCCCCTTCCGAGTTCTTTCTTGGCATGGGTGCCGGACTCGACCCAAACCCGACATATTTCCCCCCTTGGGAAGGAGGAACATTATCTGGCCTCGATTCATTCTCAGCCATCTTCCTAGCAAAAAAGCCTTCTTTATTGGCGGCAGAAGCCTCCAGCTGAGCCCTCGAATAAATATTCTCGGTCGATTTCGACCGAGACGGCCCACCTCCTCCATTACCGGAGGTCCTAAAATCACCCACAGTATTATTCCTCCTAATATTATTGCCACCGCTACCACTAAAACCCCCATCATCATAACTATCCCAACTATCCCAACCACCACCGCCGCCGCCGCCCGACGGCGGCTTGCTATTGAAACTACCACCATGACTACCGCCAGATTTCAAGGTCTCCTTCACCACCGGCGGATCGCGCCACGGCTTGCCCTCGGCGAGGGCCTGGATGCGGTCCCGGTAGACGGCTGCCGCCTTCGTGTTGTACTTCGCGGCAATGTCGGTCTCCTTGGGGACGCCGTACTGCGAGATGAAGGCGTTGAACTTTTCGTTGCCCCCTTGCTCCATCTTCTTCAGCTGGATCTCGGACCACGAGTCCATTGTGACCGATCGGACGAATGAGATGTGGACGCCGAGGCCGCGGTGCTTGCCGGAGCACTCGAGGCACATGAAGACGCCGTAGGAGACGGAGGCCCACTGGGGGTTCTTCTGGGGGCAGTCGACGCAGATCTTGTTGCCGGGCTGCGATTGGAGGTCACGGAGCCGCCGTGAGGCCGCCATGTGCGGTGTCGGGTCGGGTCGGAGATCCGGTCGGTGAAGGGAGGCGATGGGTTTTGCGGATCGGATCGATTGGAAGAGGAAAACTGGTCGATGCGAATTTGTGAAAGGACGGTGCGAATGAGAGAGAGAGAAAGAGAGTTTATTGTTTGTTTATTTATTTATTTTTATTTTTTATATATTTTCCGATAGAGGTGGATTAGGGCTACTGCCACTAGACGACTCCAACCATTTCCAATTTGCTATATGGTGTAAAGAAATAGAATTAACTTAAAACTAAGTGAACCACATAGTAATTATTATCATAAAAATGTGGGACAAAAACACAAAATATGACCATACAAATTAACCAGCGCCAATCTCACTTTATTAAAAAAACTCATCAAATGTTACATCACACTCCGAATTATCTCAACTGAAATTGTAAGAACAAAACAGGGGAAAACCTCACTCAATCAAGTTAACACACAAAACAGAACAAATAAAACAATTTCGAAAAAACAGAGAAAAGAAAAAAAGATAAAACAAAAACACAAAAAACAGAAAACTCATATCAGCATTTGGGAAGATCAGCCGGCGGAGGAGGAAGCTTCTGGTCGGAAAGCTCGCCGTCCAAAACAAGCCACGCCATCTTCAATCCCCAGCTCGTGTGCACCTCCAAATGACAATGCATAAACCACACACCTACACACACATAAATTGCATTAAAAATTATTCCTTTTCAAACATATTTTCATCCATAAATTCTTATATTAGAATTCTTATATTAGGCAGTCTAACCGTTAGATGGATCGACCTGTTATACCTGGATTATCGGCCAAGAACCGGATGGCGACCCACCCGCCCGACGGCACGCCAACCGTGTTCCTCTCAACCGGGTCGACAAGGTTGAAGCTTTTCGGGTCCTTTTTCGGGTTGAAATTCCCGAACCCTTGCCCCACGACGAAGAAATTGAATCCGTGGAGGTGAAGCGGATGGCTCTCAGCCCCGAGAATGCTCGTGTCCTGCATAACGAGCTCGACTCTCGTGTTGTACGGTAAGACCATGAGCTTCGTCCCGTTTCCAACCATTGTGTTGTTTGGTGGGTTCCCGGTGTAGTTGAACCATTTCGGGCTGTAGGGGAAGTCCGGGCTGTAGACTCGGCCCGATAGGCCCGCGAAGTGGGCCTGGAGAAGCGCGGTCGTGGGCTGGACGAACGATATGTTGCTTACCGAGGCCGCGAATTTGGTCCCGTTGGGCCCTTGGCAAGTCCGGTTCCCTTCGCACGGGCTCGTTCCGAGCCCGACCGTGAAGAAGAACCGTTTGTCGACTTCTCGAGGGACGTTGGCGGGAAACTGCGAGCTGGCGAGGCTTCGCAATTTTTTCGAGAAGCTCGTGGCGAATGCCGTGTCGTTTAGTGGCGGGAGGCTCGGTTTGTAGAGTGGGAGATGTTTCGTGTATTTTGTTGTTGGGGGCTCGTATTCGAGAATCCCGGCTACAGTCGAGTTGTCGAAAGTGCCTTGGCCCGTGACGTAGGGCCGGGCAATCATCAAGAAATTGGCGCCCGGGAATTCGGGTTTTGTTTTGAGGATGATGTTCGAGGTTTGTCCCGGGGTGATGAGGATCGTGTGGGTGTGGAAGGGCTTGACGTAAACCGCGTCGACGTCTACGACAGTTAGGGTGTGGTTGGCCACGCTGAAGAAAAGCTCGTCGTTGAGTGCAGCGTTGATCACGCGGAGAAGGTATGTTTTACCGGGCTTCACCTTCAACCTGAATGTATCCTTCGAAGAGCAATTGTAAAGTGGGCCGGGAAACCCGTTTATGGTGTAAGCGTCTGAAACGTTCGGGCCTCCACCGGTTCGCAAAGCCTGGTTGATGATCGCCTCGGTATCGGCATTGAACCATTCCCCTTCACATTTTAAGTAAAAAAGTTTGCATCTTTAGTGTAAATTATGATATCAACATTGAAAAAGTTAGTAGCTTTGATTACCAAATATGATTGGGACTTCTTCGAAAGGTTTCTCAAAAGGGTAAGGTACGTCTTTTTTCGGGAGGATGATGATGGGCCCGTAGAGTGTCGACCTGAGCCACGAGATGTGCGCGTGCCAGAAAAGGGTTCCGCGTTGGCCGACTATGGTGAAGTTGTACACGTAGCTTTGCCCGGTTTGGATCGGGCATTGGGTCACGTACGCGGGCCCATCGGCCCATCCGCTACGAAGCTGCCTAATTCCGTGCCTGTTGTATTGTATAACAAAATTGATGTGATGTGTAAAGTAACAGAAAGAATCGTGACTGACACGTGTTATTATTATGATAAACTTTACGTCAGTCGTGTTTTAACTATTGAGTTAATTAAAAGCAAGAAATTGGTTCTAATGAGTTAACTACATACCAATGGAGGGTAATGTTGTTGGGGACGTGATTCGTGACTTTTATAAGCAAACGGTCGCCTTCCCGTGCGACAATTCGAGGTCCCGGGAACTTCCCGTTCACGGTGACTATGCTCTTTGTGTGGCACAACCGAGTCACTTTTTGCATCGTGATCTGCAAGAATTTATGATAGATATACGTATGAAGGGACAAATGTGGATTAAAACAAGTGCCGAAAAATAATGTATGCACGTAGGAAATCGACACGAATGAGATAAAAACGACGTACATTGAATTCGTATCGTCGGGTGATGGCTTGTGCATGGTGTGGAAGTAGGCAAAGAGAGGTGAATGCCACAAACAAGACTATAGAAGCCATTAATGGAAAGGCACCACACATTTTCTTGTGTGTTTTTTTTTTATCTATCTTTTTTGGGGGAAAGTTAGAATGTTTTTGAGGAGACTGTTGATGATGATGATGAGTGGTATTGTTCACTTGGAATTTATAGGGGCAGTTTGAAGTGTTTTTTGATTAGGTGATGAGGATTGAATAATTTTTCAGGGTTGGGTTTAAAATAATGTGATTTTGGAAATAATAATGAAATGTAATAGGAAATTGTATTTTAATGGGCCAACTGTAGCTGGAAAACAACATTAGAGTGGTGTCAAAGACATTCTAGTGCTGTTTTGACCCATTTCACTATCCCTATCTTTTTTCCCCTATTTTATGATGATTTCTTTTAAATAATAATCGAATAATACTGACTCTCATTACCCACCCCCAAGAAATCAAATGCTTATTAAATGAATACAAAGCTCCTGGATTGTAAACGAATTAAATTGAAGGAAATATTTTGTTATTATATTTGGATGCATGAAAAATATTTGAGTATTTGAATGTGTTCTCTTTTTGGAAATGAAAAAAATATGTGGTTCACATTGGATTCGTTTAAAACATAGAATATATTCGATTTGATTCGAAATTTATTTTTTCAGAATTTAATTATGAATACGAAAAATTGAGAATTTTTCTTCCCATCCAATTTGAATGTAAAGATTAATATGAACCTACGAATATAACACGAACTATAAGTATATATATTTAAGTATTAATATATTCTTATATAGATTTTACGGAAAAAATAATTGTGTTCTAAACAATATATTAATTTTTTTATATAATTATTGTTAACTAATGGAATATTTAATAAATTTAAATTGAATGTTTGGCTTCGAATTCATATAATTTTTGAATACAAAATACTATTTATAATTTTGAATTAAAATTTACAAATATTAAATTCATATCACCAACCAAATTGAAAAAAAAAAAGATTATATTTGAAAAAAAAAAAGAATATATTACAAGCCTACTTATCTCAAAGAAAAAAGTGCTAGATGATGCATGTGTTGATACTTGATAGAGACCTGAGCTATTATGGTAAACTATAATATTTATGCATTCAATTTAAAGTGCTGTGACACTTCAATAAAACATTTATAATGCTCAAATTCAATCTTAGGTGGTTTTTTGTGATTACCAAACAAAATAATTCAAAGCTTTTCAATAAAGAATATAACTTGGGGAATAAGTATGAAAATAAAAGTATAATATATTTCATGTCTGACACGTAGTTTCAAGAGGAACAGATGAGAAGGTGAATTTGGTAGCTATGGAGTTGTCAATCTTTAGGTTCCCAAATATGCAAGTAAATATATTAAATATATACATGCAGTTTGGCATATTTTAAATTTCAAGGGATTTACATCCAAGCAATGGGAAAATAAATAAATAAATAAATATATAGTCATTTGTTTGTGGAGAAAAAAAGAATCGATAAAACTAGTATTAGACATGTCTAACTGTTAGGTTGTATTAATTTTTTAACGAACATGAATATTTTCTTAAATAATTGACATACTTTAAAAATAATATAAATAAAACTATGTCATTTCACTGTATATGTATGTATTTTTATTAAAAAGAATGTATGATAGGTCACGTCTAATAACCGTTAGATTGCCTCATACAAAATTATTTTTGAAAAATAATATATCAAATATTGGAAATTGTTAATTAAGTTATAAAGAAAGAGCTGAAAACTGACACCAAATAGACAACATAACTAATACTTCATGTGTTATATCAATAAAATATTTTAGGTATTTTGGTTGATTAATTTCTGAACTTTGTCGATTCTAGAATACATTGTTGTTGGACTTGGTGGACTTAGTGCATCTCCAATGGTATATAGTCTATTTGGAGATGTATAACATGGAGAAAGAGAACTACAAAATTTTGTCTCCAATGGTGAATGTCAATTTTAGTATAATTTGACATTGGTTGGGAATAATAAATATATTTAATAAGTCATAAAAAATATAATAGAGGATGTCTAGAAGTACTTCTAGACATAGAATGTCTTCTAGACATTTTGAATGCCATATAAGAGTAATTATGCTACATGTCAATAAAAAGGAGCAATCCATGGGCCATTGGAGATGCTCTTATGTTAACTAAAAGGTTTGTNTGGCATTGGTTGCTTGCATTTTTAATTTGAATGTTTTTTCTAAAAATGTTATTTTTATGGAATATTTTAAATCATGTTATATATGATGTTGTTAAATTGTCCAATCGTTATGTAATCATTTTTTTAACATAATGTATAAATATATTATGAGATATCATACTTTTGTCTACGTTATATTTAAATTATGGCATTCGATGGTCTAATCATAAGACAATCTAACAAAAGAGTTATTGTTTTAGACCTAATAGAACACCAAAAGTATGTACATATATATACAATTACAGTATTCATCTCATTCTCATTGAATCATTATTAGAGTTGTTAAACTAAACAAGTCAAACTGACATTTAGAACCCGTGCTCATTTAAAGTTAGAACTATAGATTTTCATGTAATTTTCTATAATCTAGCTCATTAAAATTCATATTCAGTTCATTAATATTGATAATAAGCCCGAATTCATTTTGTTAATGAGCTCAAGCTCGAATATTAAAAGTTCGAGCTCGGCTTAACTCGTTAACACCTCTAATCATCATACAACAAGTGTAATATCATTTATCAAATTATCATATCATTCTTATTCAATTAAATTCAAAAATCACCATTTTTATGTTTGTTTTACTCGGCCAACTTTCTGAATACATTGAACTTAGGGACCAAATTGAGAAATTTTATGGAATTTATAGCACTTTTATGCATTTCTTGTTTTTCCATGGCAAACAATTACATATGAAAAACATTGACAAAAGCCATAATGTGGAACTGAATAATCAAACTCATCATGGGATGGAACATTAACACAATTTAATATTTTTCATCATAAATTGCTCATAAGTCATATACATTGACATATATAGTTCAATAGACATTTTCACACACGCACACACACGCCAAAAGGAAAAAATAACACAAGCGGCACACAAACTTTCTCTATTTGTCAATTTGGCCGAGCTTGCCGAGACCATTGCACCGTGGACACACGATCTGCGCCTGGTCTTTTCTTGCCGCATTTGCCCTCAAAGCCGACCCGGATTTCCTCACAAATCCTGCCCCATCACATTCGGGGCACCTAATTAAACAAACAATAAGAAATAAGCAACAAGATGTTATTCGAACCGAATTATTCACGAACACAATTCAGTTCAGTTAATTCGTTTGCTTGAATAAATCGAATTCGAATAGCTAGTTGATCCCACAAGTAGTTAACGACAACTCGTTTTTTCAGTTTTTTGTTTTTGTTTTTGTTTTCTTAAATTTAAATAAAACTGTCAAATCAAACTTGTTCGAAAACGAACATTTCACATCAACTAACATCTAATTTAGATGTATATAGGTTGATTAAACAAAACAAAGTTAGGTGACTCAGATTGTTAAATGAGCACAAGCTCGAACACAATTCAGTTCGACTCGTTCATTTACTTGAATGAATCGAGCTCGAACAACCAATCAAGCCCAACTCTTGTTCACGAACACCTCATTTTTCTTTTTGCCATCGCCAAACCGAATTAATTTGCAAACAAACATTTCACATTCACGAATATCTCATTTAGCCATTTAAGTTTATTAAACAATACGAACCAAGCCGAGATTTCATGAACTTAAACGAGCATAGACTCGAAAAACAAAACCCCTAGGCAACTACTAAAAAAAATAAAAATAAAAAAAGAATTAATAAAAATTCCTTACAAGTCCTTGCGGGAGAAAAGGATAGGGAAAGCAGTTCCGAGCAATGCCACGGCAGCAGCTCCGGCGATCAGATAAGTTGTTCCGGCGGCCGAAACATCTCCGGCGGCGGCCACCACCGTTAGGGGCCTTTTCCCTTTATTTTTCTGCAAACAAAGCTTTGAGCCATAGAAATTAATCCTAATATTAGAGCCTAGAGATGGTACATTATTTTGGTTGGCTGATTTTGGGGAAATTAGAGACTGCATATATGTGAGGGATGCCATTTGAGAGATTTTTATTTGATTTGGATAATTTTGTTTGGTTTTTTGAGTGTGAGTTGACAGAGTATTTTTTTGTAGCAGTTTCATGTTTTTAGATGTTTGTGTAGCCACATATTGTATATGTTGTGGATAAGGTCTCTTGGCTATAATATTTCTTGGGATTGCCTTGGATAATTTGGGTCCAATTTCATGTGATTGAGTTATACTATTTCAAATTATGTTGTATTTTTCATTGGATAAAATCAGTAAAAATTGGTTTTAACTTGCTGAATAATTATTAACAAATTTTTATCTCAAAATTCAATGAAAATTTAATTCAACATAACTCTTTTTTATTTTATATCAATATAATTTAATATGACCAATAAATAATTCTCACATATCACATCAGCGCATTTAATATTAATTCACTCATATATTTTTAACTACATATCAGTCCGATCGCACATCTCTTATTTTTACATGAAATCAACTTTAATCAGTATATTTTAAATATTATTTAAATTCAAACTCAAAATCTCACTCAATCATATATTCAATCAACTTTACTCAAAATTAACTCACTTAATCTAATAAATCAAATCAAAGCCAAAACAATTCACTTCCAATCACCTCGTTGGACACTTATAACACTCATTTGAAAAATGAAATAAATAAACATAGTGTAGGATAAATTTAGCTGAAAAACTAGTTGACACTTAATAGCTAATAAGTTAACTGATGATTTATAACTAAATAGCTTATAGCCAAGTGTAACTTATGGGTGACGCACAAAAATTAATTGATGTACTAAAAATGTTAGATAAAGTTAGTTAATATGTTATTTGAAGTTAAAATTCCAATGTCTTTTTTAGGGTTACCTTAAGAAATTACGAGATTAGTTAACAAATTTTAAGAAAGTTAATTCTACCAACCATATTTAAGAAGAGGAATTTACACTCTATACTCTCAATTATATTTTATACGGTTTTGCTATGGAGTCAATAGTTCGCTCCATAGTGGTGCCAACCTTCTATATACAACAAATAAACATACCATATTAATAAAATTATATTAGTGTTATTTAAGTAATCAGAGAATATGGTAAGTTTATTTGTTGTATATAGAATGTTGGCTCCACTATGGAGCCAACTGTTGGCTCCATAGCAAAACCGATATTTTATATTGCATATTAACACCTGATAGGTAGAAAAATGTGCACGTTTTATATATTTAATAGTGTATTTTTATATACTTAATTTATCCGCACTTTTATATTTTCGACCTATTTATTATCTGGATGGATTTATTGGCTTTTATGTTTTATGTGTTATTTTCAGTATTTTGGAGTATTTTGTGGTCGTGAAGCATTGGACCGAAGTTCACGCGATTAATTATCGAGCGACCCATGCAGGCCCATGTTTAAGCTAATTGTTAAAGAAGTTAATCAAAGGCCACTTAGTTAATTGAGGGGAGAAGGAATTAAAATAAAGAGGCAAAAGCTCCGTCCATAGCCACGCTGCAGGGGAAAGGATTTATTTGGGCTAGTGGATTTATTTGTGAGAACTTAGATGGCTAACAATTAATGAGTTAGGAAAGAAAAAAAAAAAGCAAATAGAAAAGAGCCGTGATTGCTGGAGAGGTCAAAATTGTGGGGAGAATTATTTGCGGCCAAGGGAATTATTGACGAGAGGGACTCACGCATAACATATATTTGAGGACCGTGAGGAATTATTGATTTTTACGAAAAGAAAAAGCCGTACATAGAAAAGAAAAAGAGACAAGCGGAACAGATAGACGCACAGAAGAAAAATGCAGACAGTTCACGCACAGACTGAGAGGAGAGCTCTACACGCGGAGGGAAGCCGCACTCGCACACGAGGGAGATTTTATTCTCTCTTTTATCTATCTTTTATTTTTATTAGTATGTTAGTTTAGTATTTTTATCCAGTTTTAGGGGATGTTTGAACCCTAAGTTTGATTTGTCTATGAATCGAATGATCTTTGTTTATCGTTGATTAATCTAAACGCCGTACTTATTTTGTTGATAAGTTGATTCATGCTATATGTGTTTAATGTTTATGAATTATGAGTATTTGATTTAGTTTGACCAGCTACGTTGAATGTTCATAGTTTAATTGCTAGATTCAGGATTTTAATCCATAATTGTTATTGTCTCGTTTCGTTAGTAGTAAACTAGGGGTCGTACATCTCTAGGGTAGCGTGAACATAAGCTAAATGGTCCGAGCTTGTGCGTCCGTTGCTTAGACTGATCTATTTTCCTAGTAATTATTGCTGCTAGTGTATTAAATCTAGAGTGCTTATTCTAGGTTGTCCACTAGTTAGGTTTCATCAAATAGCTTATTTCGATTAAATATTCGGTAAGGGAAAATTCGGTTAACAGAGCTTGTTGTTAGCTAGGGTTGATAATTCATTAGCAATCTAGAGAAAGCGTCGAAATTAATTAACGGTAGATTGAGATTGGGTGATAACTGAATCGAAAACTGGACTTCTCTTATTTTATATTATTATTTTTATTTTTTTTATTATTTTTATAAAATCAATCCCCCCATATTTATTTGCTTTCTTAGTTTAAATTTAATTAATACGAAATTGTCACAATTTAATTCCTGCTTCTCGTGGGATCGACCCTTACTCGCCACTACTACTAGTTAGTAGAGGGTAGTATGGGAAAACATTTATAAATTTAAATTTGCTGCGTCGCGACGCGCGGTCAACACCCAATTAATATTTATTTGCAAATATACAAAAGCATTCAACATATTTGCACATATACCTTCATCCTTATCTAAATCCAATCAACTCTGCCTATAAAAGTCCTTAAATTAATCAACCCTAATTACCACATCCATCACCCCAAATCGGGCCCTCAAATCACCACATAGACCCTATCTCACCATGGACACAGGATCAGAACTCCACCAAAATTGTGGCCCAATTCCAATTGACACGACCTACGCCAACCAAAATCCTGTACCACCGAGGTCTGATAGCTACTGGCCTTGGTCGCCGACCACAGCCATCAAGTCGACTTCACAGTCGGGCCGACCACAGCCGCCGGCAGACGTGTGGCACGGCAACATCTCCGGCTCCTGCTCCAGGATCTTCATCACAGCGAGATCTCGCTGTGTCATTTAGAATGTTGTGCCGAACGAGACGTCGTCGTTTCTTGCTGCTCGTCTTCAGATGGGATTTGAGCCGACTGTGAAGCGCCCATTGATAAGGGAGAAAATGGATGATGGTGGGTTGTTGCTTAAAAATTGGATCTTTAAGATCTATTTCACGAGAGGGAAAGTGAGCAAATTAATATGTTATTACAAACTGAACGAATGGAAATTGAAAACTGGGATTAGGCAAAAAGCTTTTNGAGTGGGAATGGAAATTGAAAACTGGGATTAGGTAAAAAGCATTTGTAGTTTTTTCCTCTTTTTATTGTTCAATGAAAATTGTATGGTTTATTTCCAGTATATTATTAGTCATGTTTTATTGTCTTATATGTTTTTTTTTCTCATGACATTAACGGGAAGACGTTCGACAGTATATAATAGTTAAAAATTTTCGGTATATTATCAGTATATTTTCGGTATATTTTCTCATGACATTAACATGAAGACGTTCGACAGTATATTATCAGTATATTTTCGGCATATTCTGCCATTAAAGATTTAAAGTCAAGTTTATATTCAGTATATTTTCGGTATATTCTCAAAGGAGCAATGTTTAAAAAAAACCCACATATATATTTTAATATATTTTCAGCCATGTTTATAGTCAATATATTTTTAGTATATTTTCGGTATATTCTCAAAGGACCAATATTTAAAAGAAAAATTAATTAAACGATATATATACCATTATAAAATTAAAAAACCCATTTAATGAATGATCAAAGATAAAACCAAAAATATAAAATTAAAAAATGAACATGAAAACATAATTGCGATAATAAAATATACCTCTCTATCTATTATAGTTTTTCTTTTTATTTATTCTCTTATATGAAAACCTGATTGCCACTCCAAACACAATTATGGAATGTACCTCTCCATCAAAACTGTTCCTATTATTTTGGAGAGATAATTATTTCATAATGACCCAGATTTTTATTTTTTGTAACGGAATCTACGCTACATTAAGGAGGGACCCTTTTTTTTGTATATTTATTTAGATGAGGTATATCTCTAATAAAATCCTAGATTTTAGGTATAGATACAATAAAAATTGGTCCACTTGTAAAAATGAAATATTTTGTAAATATGATAAGAAGCGTGCAAAATTCCCATTTAAGAAAGTTAAATCTAGCAAACCAAACTCTATTTAAGTGTAGGATGCTTATAAGCCCAGTAAGTTAATTCATAATTAATCAACAGGGCCAGTCGAAGACAAAGCCCATTAAGTATCAAGCCTTTCTATATGTGATGCAAATATCCCACTTTCCATTTTGGAGTTTTTAGCGAGATGGATTAATATCTGATTTATTGATAGCACCTTCAGAAATTTCTGTAGTCTGCCGAAAACCAAATTATATTTGGTTCCATTTTCTCGTCCTCCCAACGACCACTCGTACAGTGTCTTGGTCTGAACAATAATGGTAAAGGAAGGTCCCAACTGGGATGGCCTGCTCAAGTGGAGCCTTTCTCACTCCGATGGCACCAATACTTCTCGTACTTTAAGGTAACAATCCATTTATTCTTTCAGCGAGAGTTTGTTCTTGATTTGGGGGTTTTCAAAATCTAGTCTCTGAGGACATAAGAAATAAGGAAAAAATTGATGGGTGTTAGGTGTTTGTAGAAATGTCCCGCTCAGACTAGTCTTGTTGGTTTGAGGGTTCTGATGAATAATCTGTTTTAATCACTGCAAGATCGTACATCTATTGGTTAATATTTGTGGGATTTTAGTGAGGAGGATAGGAGATGGTTCATGGAGGCTGTGCAAGCTCAGTCAGTGGACATTATTGGTCGAATGAAGGAGATAACACTTGTTATGCAGGCTCCAGAGCATGTTTTGGAGTCTCAGGGGGTTACACCTCAAGATATTGAAGGTTCTAATTTGTAGATTATCGTTTTCTCATATGTGAGGCTGATCTTTGTTTTTGGGATGGATGTTGAATTTTTTGGTTCTACCGAGGGCTTGCAGGTTTGTTAGATGAGCTGCAGGAGCACGTGGAGTCTATTGACATGGCCAATGGTGAGTGGCATTCATAGTTTTCTGTTTTTTTGGATTATTTGACGAAGATTGCTGGAGGATGAAGATCGGTTTATGTTGGTAGCCTATCTTTCTTGATGAAATATTTCTTTATGTAATTTGCTAAGGAGTTGAGTTAGATGTTCAGTGCACTCTACTTTGAGTGAACCATATTACTTCTAGACAGGCAGTTATTATTCCCAAAATCAATTACGGCATATGTGGTTTAAAAATTTGGTTGAGAATCCTCTTTTCTTTCATTAAACGTACCTCGATCAAAATTGTTTCTGTTGATACTGTATTTGCAGCGGGTATTGTGTATCAAAGATCAATTTTCTATTGTTTTTCTGAAAATTGTTGTTTTTATATATCATTTGGATAGTTTTAAATTTACCTACATTCATGATTGGGCCTTATGATGGCACCTCAAAATTGATCATTATCAAGGTTCATTTTGTTTCTTTGGGGGAGAAGTTATCTTTTTATTTATTTATTATTTTATTCTGTTTTTACAGATCTTAAGTCTATTGGTGGGCTGGAACCTCTCATCAACCACTTGAAGAATTCACATTCTAATATCAGAGCAAAGGCTGCTGAAGTTGTCAGCACAATAGTTCAGAACAACCCAACGAGTCAAAAGTCAGTGATGGATTCTAATGGCCTTGAACCGCTTTTGTCGAACTTTATTGCTGATCCTGATGTTTTAGTTCGTACCAAAGCACTCGGTGCAATCTCATGTAAGGCGTAGATCAAATTTTGATCTCAAGTTACAACTTTTTCCTTTCCATTTTTCGTTCTTTATTTTTATTTTTGTTAGTATTATTAATTCCTGTGTGCTATATTTTCAGCCTTGATCAGACACAACAAGCCTGGAATTTCCGCGTTTCGCCTGGCCAATGGTTATGCAGCTCTAAGGGATGCTTTGGGTTCTGAGAGTGTGAGATTTCAGAGGTAAAAGATTATTTTTTCTGAAAAACAAGAGATGTTTTAAGTTGTAACACTTCTGAAAAAAGCTAGCTAGTAACCTTCTAATTTCTTTCATTTTATTCTTTCATGAAATTGCAGGAAAGCCCTAAATTTGATCCATTATTTACTCCAAGAAAACCACTTGGACCGGGCTATAGCCACCGAGCTCGGGTTCTCTCGCATTTTTATGCACCTCGCCTCAAGCCAAGACATCGAAGTACGTGAAGGTGCACTCAGCGGACTTCTTGAGCTAGCCCGAGCTGAATCGAGCCGGCCCAACAACATTTCATGCGATGAAAACGAGAAATTGAAGGAAATTTTGCAAGAAAGGATTAGAGGAATAAGCGAAATGTCCATTGACGACCTTGGGGCTGCTAAAGAAGAAAGGCATCTAGTGGACTCTCTTTGGAAGACATGCTTTAATGAACCGTCTAGTCTTGGAGAGATGGGTCTACTCTATCTCCCAGGAGAAGATGGGCCTCCCCCGGATGTCGTGGGCCAGCTTTTTCAACAGCCTTTGAGGGCTTGGGCCGCTAATCGGGATCCAAATGGAAACTCGAGTGGCGGGGAGAATAAGCCCGTGTTGCTCTTGGGCCTTGGGCCCTCGTCCGGGACTTGAGATGACGTGGAATGCGACTCAGTTTGTTTCTGTAAGGACATTTTCATTGCATTTTGTGAGACCATATGTTGTTGTTTAGTAAATTTAACTACAAAGTTCCAAAGTTTTTAAACCACAAAAGGTTGTGTTCGGTAAGCATATAAGATATCTTATAGCTTATTTGATTAGATTATCCTGTATTCAAATAAGTTTGGTTTGCTAGGACGGACTTTTTTAAAAAGTTCGAGCTTATTTCATAAGCTTCATTGGATAGTTTTTAAATAAGCTTATTGAAATTTTTATTTTAACTAGCTTATCCGCTAATCTTACCAAACACTCTTATTATATAAGCTAGCTTTTCAGCCATAAGTCATAAGTCATTAGCTACTAGTACAGAGCCCGTGCGATGCACAGGGTGCACAATTTTAAGGCTATTTATCCAGGCTTATAATTATATACATGAATAAAGAAAAATGTACGGGATAAATATAGTACGTGACCCGTGCGATGCACGGGATATATTTATTTGGAGAATATTATATTATAAGATGCGATATTCAATAAAAGTTTATAATACGCAAGAAAATTGTACAATGTTCAATAAAAGTTTTATAACATTCAAGTGGAGTCTTAAAGTCTCTTGTACATTAAGACTACTGACAAAATAATATTTTAATCAATGAGTTTTCTTTCCTTGTAGCCAAATTGTGAATGTGATTTGAGGAGTACAACAAATCGATATATAGCTGACTTGCTTTTTTCATTATATATTTTTTTTTTATAATGAATTTAAAGATATTCTAAAGTATAGCAAAAATTAATTTTTTTATTACAATTAGGAATTTTACTAAATATAAACTCTCAATCTATGGTGTTAATCAATGTTTAAGTCTAAAAGGAATGTTTACCTCTTTTAATCAACGTTTAAGTCTAAAAAACAATAGAGTTATTATAAGTTTTTTTTCTACATCTTTTAAAACATTAAATATGAGCATGTTAGGGCTAGCTTGTAAAATAATTAATATATTATCTCACTAAAACATTTATACTAATAAAAATTTAATTTTAGCATATAAATTTATCCCTTGATATAAGAGAAAGTAACAGTTTTACTTATTGTTGTTCACCATATAATATTTAATTATTATTTTATTATATAATAAAAAAAGAATATTGTTAAATAGTGTAGTAGAATTATTATAAAATTATATGATTTTTTTTTTACAATATGGATTTAATATTTTTTTATGATTTGATAATATAAACAAATCTATACTTAACTTTGACAAATAAAATAAATAAATACTTTAGTAAGTATTTAATGTATATACTAAATAGGAATATATTTGGTATAATCAAATACCAAATATAATCAAATAAGTCAAAGTGTACATTTTTATTTGGTATTTGATTTTTTTATTATTAAAATCTTTTTATTAGGCTTACCTTTTTAAAATAAAATAAATAAATAAATCAATTAAATAAATAAAATATTATGATACCAAAATAGTAATGGCATTTAATGCAGTTGACTTTTCTGGATAGTAAATGTAGTAAATGGAATCTCCTTTTATATAAGTATAGATTGTATAATACGGAAATAGTAATGCAATAAATGATGTTGACTTTTTTGGCTACTTAATTTGGTAAATAGGACTCCCTTTAATATAAGTATAGATAAGCTTAAAGTACACTTAAAAGCTACCAGCTAACTTATCAGCTAGATATAACAAACATAGCCAGAAAAAAAAAGAAAAAAAAAAAATAAAAAACCAAACCCAAACACCCCACATGTCACTTCGGGGGACAAAACGTGATCAAATACCTCGATGCCCTACACCTATTCAAGCTCGACGAGTCGTCGAACGCGTAGCTATACGCCTTGGGGCAAATCGCCTTGAAAAGCCGAGCGAAAACAGTGGGCCGGCAAGTTTTCGGGCTCGAGTACTCCCCCGTGCAACAATATTTGGCCGACTTCATGGCCAAGCACGCGCTCTTGCAACCCACAACCCGACCCGCGACCCGAACCTCCAAAGCCGACGGGCAACAAATGTTGAGGTCCACCTCACACGAGGCGACCCCACACCCAACCCCACCACCGACCGGCTTCATCGAGACCGGCAAGTTGAAGCCATCGACCAAGCTGACGTCATAGAAGTGAAGTGGCGAAGCTGAGGTGCCTAAAGTCATCTCCACCACCGTTGCTGGCGGCAAGCCGCCAAGGCCCCGGCAGCCGAGCTGGCCGGAGCAATCTCCGGTGGCGCACGAGCCCTTTTGGCCGTTTTGGTCGAAATTGCACGATTGACGAGCCCATATTCTGCCGGACCATTTGTCCGGCACGTTGAGGACTATTTCTTGGTTGGTGCTTAGTTGGAAGCCGCCGTCTTGTGGGGTCGGGTGGCCCGCGCCAGCTTGGATAGCGGGCCATATGGTCTCGTTGCAGTTGTTGACGAGGATGAGTTGATGATGATGCTCGAGTCCACCTGCGTAAAATGCACGACAAAATTAGAAGTAGAAGAAGAAGAAGAAGAAGAAGAAAGAAATGTTCAATAATGGAAAATCCTTTTAAAGAAAAGCACAAGAACTACTACAATACTACTTCATATTGAAGGNGTGTAAGTAAAAGCTAAAGTTGGGTTTTGATGTGTTCTGCTGCTGAATGAATGAATGGTGTAAGCAAGACCTTATACTTATGGAGGAAGTTTAAAGTAGAAAACCTCTAGAGGGGGGCTGTCCTTTTTAGGGGCTCAAAGCGAAAAAAAAAAAGGATATATATTGTGCCCCTTCATTTTCCCTCATTTAAAATTTTCCCACTTAACTTTTTCTTTTTGCACATAATGGGAATATGTTCATTGCTTCTAATGACGGATTAGAACTTCTTAATTATGCTTCTAACTTTTCCTTTTTGGCTCAACTCATTTTATGTACTGGTAATATGGTATGGCTAATAGTTAATAGTTAGATAATAATACTTAATTTATCTTACATACCAATTCGGTGGCTATAATGCAAAATTACTAGTTGACTCGCCTAATGATGAGACTATTTATGTTTAGGTGGTTATACACTCCTAAAGCATCTTCTTCAATAAATTCAATCTATTTTTGGCAAGTGTAGAAGCACTATTTTTCATATATTTGAACAAATCTGGACAAAAAGGCAAATTCTATGTGGAAAGAAGGAATTACGCATTTAAAGCGCATTGTTTTACAATTTGAAACCAATACATAGATTGAATTGAAGAGAACTTTATTAACATTCCTTACTTCGAGTTTGAACAAGTGCCACAACTTATGTCGGATATAATACATTTGGCCTGGCTAATAGGTTTGATAGCATACAAGAAAAGAGAATTAATTTTGGTTATTTTTGCTTTTCGCAATGAAGTGCAATACAAGCAATCTTCNAAAGAAACAAAATGTAGTACTATATGTGAATCTTTTCACGAACGATGATTTCATGTCAGCGAACAATTTATTTAAGGTTTATATGATTATTAGACGAGTCGAGCAGAGCCTAACTGAGCCTTTTATTAAACGAGCACGAGCTCGAGATCAGGTAATTTCAACTAATTCACATTTAGCTTACATTTGCACATTCTCAATTTGATTGTGCTTTTAGAAGAATTAATTTGTTGCACTTTCTCCCATTAGCATTTCATCAAACACAGGGCTATTTCTAAGCAAAACTGTATTTGCTTATCTGAATATTTGAAAATTGAAATCATCATTAATTACTGTCCAGTCTCCAAGTGCTATGCATATCAATATCATATGTAACACACCAAAATATAAAAACAGGAAAAAGAATTTGAATCAGGTAAAACATACAATTAACTTTCCATTTTTACCCCAAGAATTTGAGACTTAAATTTGCAAACTAAACAATAAGTACATGCCCAAATAGCTCAGAGAGGAATATCAAGGCCTTTCCCAACATCCACCCCTATTAGTTGAAGAATTCCCTTGTTCAAAATCTGCAGAGGAAATAAAAGAATCAATTAGTTGTGCATATTGTAACAACAAATTTTATGAAAAAAATAAAACTTTTGTACAACTTGAATATATATTGATCAAACGATATTGCGGGTACAATCTCTATATGTATCCTCTGATTCTTCTCTTCATGGATTTGGATTTGGATCTTTGAAGATGGATTTGACGGTTGAATCTTCTTCAGGCTTGAGCTTAAATTTGTCCAACGTTAATTGGGGGGTCGAATGACTTGATCCCAAATTAAACGTTAGGACTTGATTTGATTGAAGACAACTTCTTGGAGGACTTGCTTCTTCGATCTTTCTAGAAGATGAATTTAGACTTGAATAACATTGACTCGAGGGCTTGAGAGTTTTTTCCCGGATCAAACGCTATGTTGCTTGAACTTCTCGACGAACTCGGCTTGAATGTTGTGGATTTTCAAAAACACCTTTGGATCTTCAAGAGAATTATTGAGAGCTTTTTGAATTGAGACTTTGATTTATGAGGTGTTGAATTTTTTTTTTTTTTGAGGTGTTTCAGGTGTGTTTTGTGACTTTGAGGAGAGCCCTATTTATAGGTGTAGGAGAGAGAGTCTTGGAGAAGAAGACATCAATTTGATTGGTCCTTCTTGATTTGATAATCTCTTTCCTTATCATAAAATTTGATATAATTTCCTTCCTTATCCTAAGATTTGACTTGTTTGTCCATTGCAAATGGAGCTGGAAGAGTCATTGTTGACAATTCTCCTAGCATAGTGCTAATAATGACTAGATCAAAATGGCTCAATTAAATTCTAGTGCTTCTTCTATTAGTGAAGTTTCTAGAAAAAAAAAAAATATATCAAACGGCGCAATGCATCTTGGGTCGCTACGGAAACAGCCTCCTTGTATAATTACAAGGGTAAGGTCTGCGTACAACTGACCCCCCAGACCCCAACCTGTTGGGAATATACTGAGTATATTGTTGTTTGTTGTTGATACTAAGATTTGACTTGGTGGGCAAGAAATATTTACTTTATTAATTAAATATCTTATTTACCTTGGATTTATGTCTCAAAATAAATAAAGACATTAATTAATAAAATATTAAAATTTCGATGTCTACACATATATAACGAAAATAGAAATCAAGATCCTTTTTTTTTCCTTAAAAGATGCAACAACTGTTGCATATTATTATTAATGCTAATCATATTTTTAGTTTTTATTCCTTTGGCCGCCATATAGAGGTGTAAAAAAGCCGAGCCGAGCTGAGCTCGAGCTCCTTGAGGAGCCTTTATCTGACATAGCTGAACTCGGCCAGTCAACAAAACAAGCCGATAAACGAGAGATAACAAGAAAATAGAGAGCTATGATATATATTTTTTTTCTTTTCTAAGATCCACTTTTTTAATTCTTATTCTTTTAGCCGTCATTATAAGGTGTAAACGAGTGGCTCAGCCAAACCGATAAAGGAGCTGAAGATCGACTTCTTTATCAATGAGTCGAGATATAGAAAACTAATAAAAAAAACAAATCCTGTTTTCTAACCCTTAATTTGGGTTGTTCACTAAATGAGTTCAAGCTCATCAAACAAGCCAATAGCTATAGAAAACTACATAGAAAAAAAATCCTATTTTCGAGCGTGAGCTCGGCTTGTTAACTAAATGAGTTCAACCTCATCAAACGAGCTGACAACTATATAAAACTACATAAAAAAAAATCCTATTTTCGAGCATTAGCTGGGCTAGTTAACTAAACAAGTTCAAGCTCGTCAAACAAGCCGATAGCTATAGAAATCTACATACGAAAAAATCGTATTTTCGAGCATTATCTCGGCTTGTTAACTAAATATGTTCAAGCTCATCATACAAGCCGAGCCGTGCTCGAGGCTTAACTTAGGAGCTCTTTTT